TTCTCGATGTAATGCTATTTACGTTAGACCACCAACTTTTCGGTCCAGTTTTCTGGTTGCCAAACTCCTGTTTGACTGCACTTAATTGATTTTCCCGAATTAACTTGTTGATTTTTTCTTGCAATCGTGTATTTGCTTCAGTATTTCCGTTTTGTATGGCTCTTTTCCTTTGATTCAGAAGGTGGTTCACAAAAGGAGACATGAACGGAGGGTCGTGTGATGACGTTCTGACCTTAATTAGTGGGAAGCTCTTATCGAATTTTGGCCATATTATTTCATAAAATTTTAGGGTTATCTCATCTAGGTTATGGCTATTCATAATTATCGTGTTCCAATCAATAGATTCAAGTTCACGAAGCATATTCAATTGATGATGTTGTCTCACATCTCTGAAATAGGAATTTGTCCTTGTTGCTTTAACTATGTTTCGGGGGTACGTGATAACCATATCATGGTCGGATCTCACCAAGCTTTTTACAACTTTAACAGATTTCCAATAGTTTGGGACATTTGTAATAAAGACATCTAATATTTTTAACCCTCTCGTAGGGGTCTTAACGAGTTGGGTAAATGGAAGTTGATTAAGAACAGATCGAATGTTTAAATTGTTAATGTCACCAGCAATTATTATATTTGAATTCGGTTTAGATAACAATAGTTGTTCGCACGAGTCAATAAGGAATTCGATAAGGTCTTGCTCATTATACTCATAGTTAGGTGGGTGGTAAATAGTTGCAACAAAGAATTCAGAGTTTTGTGTAATAATTTTTGTCCATAAACATTCGAATGGATTATCCAAATCAGGTAGTAGCTGCATTCTCCAATCATTCCTGCATAAGATCGCGACACCTCCTCCTCCACAGTTTGTTCTATCCTTTCTAATGATGGAAAAATTGGGAGGACAAACGAGGGAGCTAGGTATAGTCGGTTTGAGCCATGTTTCGGTTATACAACAAACATCTATGTTATTGCACTTAATGTCTGCGCACAAAGCAGGAAAAGCATCAGGTTTTGCAATAGATCTGGCGTTCAACACTGAGCAACATGGAATTAAGCGTGGTTGACTCGGGGCAGTTTTATTCACTTGCATAGGTCTCAAAGTGCTGCAATGCCTAAGAGATTTTATATAACTGTGCTGTCTTGTGCGTGGAGTAATTCTGATGGGTATCTTATTTAGTTCGGTATCGGGTATCTTATGGGTACCATTGTTAAGGAAGGGACAAACAAACTTGGATGAATCGTAATCACCTGTCAACGCCTGGGCGGTCTTGTGTAATTCGTCATCAGGGGTGAAGGGTACTGATTTGGGTAACTCATTGGGGGCTGTATGGCTGGAGAATAGGGATTTGGATATTGTGACGATATAGGGGTTGGAATTTCCATTAAAGGATTCAATGGGCGGAGATTTCTCAAGGTTCTCGGTAATAATAATTCTGGTACGGCGGAAATGGGTTGGTGAATCGGTGTGATAAAAAATCAGGAGAAGCATAATCGCCTGGATAGGGCATGGGGGATGAGTTACGTATCAATTTGTCGTGGGAAAAATCACACATCTCTTTCTTCAGACAGTACCCTCTTTTATGCAGAAAAGGACATGGTATATTGCACTTCCGTGTTTCAGATGGTTTTGGGTGTTTAAAGTCGCATCGGTCGCCTTTAAAACATCTACCACGGCGTATGAGAAAAGGGCACGGGACAGAGGATTTTAGAGACGGATTGTATTTGGTTTTTTCCCTTTCGCTGTTAATTGACTGCTGCGATACCGATTTCAAGTTCGAATTTAAGCCTTTATGTTTATTATTTTTATTCTGCTGTTGTGGGAAAAGCACGGCATCATCATTTGTAAGGTCAATGTGATTATTCTTCAAATCGTCGGCATTGCATTGGCTGTTGTCATTATGCCGAATAAGGCTATTGTCATGAGAGGTTTTTAGAGATGGATCGTAACTAATACGGCTATTGTCATGAGAGGGTTTTGGGGACAGATCATATCTAAGTTTATTCCCTTCTATGTTGGTTGACTGCTGCGATTCGGATTGCAAGTTCGAATTTATGCCTTTGTGTATATTATTTTCATTCTGCTGTTTTGAGGAAAACACAGCATCATCATTTGCAAGATCAATTTGATTATTATTCAAATCATCGGCATTGCATTGTCCGTTGTTATTATGCCGAGCAAGACTATTGTCATGAGAGGTATTACGTAATTCAGTGTTAATTGAGCTGAGGTTACTTTTGTTATATTGTTCACTGGCATGAAAAGCGGCCGCTTTGTCAATACTTTTAGCTTTGTAAACTGATAAGCCAGGTTCTTTGTCTTTATTGACATTATAAGTTATCTTGAGAAACGACTCTTCAAGAGCCAACAGCCTTGCTTTAAGGAATTGATTCTCTTCGTTAAGAGTACAAATCACATCGTCTTGGCGTCTTATAGCGGCTTCCGATTCTTTCTGTTTAACTCTGAGCAGATCAATATCTGACTCAAGCTCATTTTTGGAAATTGCGGCAAATAATCGCGATTCTAAAATTGTTATTTCAAGCTTCAAGCCCTCTAGATCAACAGAGCAGGAACATTTACATACCTCCAGTACAGCAGGATGTGCTGTATCGCCATCGCTAACAATCACTCCATCAGTACCATTCTTGCTATCAGCTTTGTTTCCTTTACTCTTGTTCACCAAGCTCTCAAACTTCTGTGTTAAAAAGTTCTCAGCACTGTCTACTTGAATCACAAGTTTCTGGGACCGCCAGCCAAACCATTTAATAACAAAGTCAGGCTTTGTAGCACAAAACAGCTTCGCTTCGCCTCCTGGAGAGCTCCACTTCCCTTTAAGATTTAAAATTTCATCAACAAAGCACTTTAAGTCGGCCAAGGAACCGGTCCAAAGATAGGTATCACCATCGTGTATCAACATATTAAAATGTGGATAAGATTAAATGTGGATATTGAGTAAAAAAATATAAAATAAACGGAGCTCACAAAATTAGCGCCATACAATGTTGAATCTTGCTATGGTCTCGACGTTGCCTTGGTCTCATGGAATCTTGCTATGGAATCTTGCTTGGAATCTTGCTATGGTCTCGACCTTGCTATGGTCTAACTGTTGACGAGTGCCAATTATTAAGAATTCTGTCTTAAGATCGTTGAATTTTAATTTCTGTGAAACCAACCAAGCGCGAACCTCAGTTATACATGCTTCGACAACCTTGACTGCATCATTTTGACGAATAGGTGACTCAGGACAAAAAGATAAATACAGGTGGGTATCATCAGCGTATCCATGGGAAGATGGTAAATGCTTTTTAATAATTTCGAATAATTTCGACACATAGAATAGAAAAAGTATCGGTACCAGACAGCTTCCTTGCGGAACTCCACAGGTCACGGGAAAACTATTTGAGAGCACTTGGTTTACAGAAACAAACTGTTTTCTGTCTGACAGAAAAGATTTTAACCATCCAAGCGCGTCACCACTGACACCAAAATTTGATTTTAATATTTCTAACATGATTACGTGGTCCACCGTATCAAAAGCCGCACTCAGGTCGAACAGTACAAGTAGCGTTACCTCTCGTTGATCCGTGCTCATTAAAATATCGCTTTGAACTATGACAAGAGCTGTTTCGGTTGAGTGAAATGGGCGATAAGCTGATTGGTTAGTGGGAAGAGGTGCATTATCTTCACAATGGTTAAGTATCTGACCGACAACTGCTTTTTCCGCAATTTTTGACACGAATGAGAGGTTATTTACAGGTCTAAAGTTTTCAAATAAAGCTTCAAGACCAAGTTTCTTTAATATAGGTACCAGAAGAGCAACTTTCCATGCTTCAGGAACATAGCCATCATGTAATGACATATTAATAATTTTCGTGATTACAGTTTTCAATTCATCGACGCATAATTTCACTAGCCAAGTTGGAATAGGATCCAATTTACAAGTAGCATTCGATGAATTCATTATAATATCGCGAATCTCTTCTTCTTTTAGCTGGTGAAATGATGTAAGTTCAGCTTTAGGTGGCTGATATTCAACTGATGGAGGTTGTACTGGAATGTCATCAATTTCAGTTCTGAATAGTTCGATCTTTCGGTGGAAAAACTCTCCAAAGTCATTCGCGAGTTGACCTAAGTCAGTGTGTGGAGGCAAGGGATTTTCTTTTCGAACTTTAGAAAGAGTAGATACCACTTTGAAAAGTTTTCTTTTGTCACCCGAGCACTGGTCAATAAGTTCAGAATAATATAGTATTATAGTCGTTTGGCACTTTTCAATTTAGCAGAGTATTTATTGCAAGAAGCACGATACAGTTTCTTGTCGCATTCACAGTTTGATTTTAACATTTTTCTCTCTAATTTTCTGCGGTTTACTTTCAGATGTTTAAGTTCATTATTGAACCACGGTATCTTGGTTCTCTCCATTATTACCTGTCTTTGTACAGGAGCATGTTTCTCTAAAATATTAGACAGGGTTTCATCATAGCTTTGCACCAGGTCATTCAAATTAGCCCAAGTTTCGTTCCATAGATTAGATGTAATAATGTCAGATTTGAACGCATCTATGTTGATTTGTCTCATTTTACGAAATTGAAGTTTCTTCTGTCTAGGATTGGGACGGGGCACTGACAAACTACACTCAACAAAGCAGTGGTCGGATAGGAAAAAGAAGCCTGTATTTCGCCAATTGTGACGTCATTAGATGATCTCGTGATAATAAGATCCAACATGTGATTGGATACATGAGTTGGAAACTTAACATGTTGTATGAGGCCAAATGTTTCCAGAACTTCAATACATTTTCTACTATCTTCATCTGCTATATCTTCGAGATGAAAATTAAAGTCTCCAGTTATTAAAAGTATTTCAGGGCACATAACGGTGCTCTCAAGAAATGAGGAGAATTCTTCAAAAAACATATTCGAAGTGACAGCATAACTCTGGGAATATGGTGGACGGTAAACCGCAATAATTTTAATAGTTTTATTGGACACTTTACAGTTCCATTCTGAATATTCGAATGAATGTTTTTCATCCCCATTAATAAACTTGATTTTAATACGGCTGCTACACATTACACCAGTTCGGCCGCCCCTTCTATCAGATTGCCGTGGAAAACTTTTAAAATAGTAGCCAGGTGGAGACAACGCCGCAATACTAACAGAGTCTATGTCTTTTAGCCAAGTCTCAGTGACTACACATATGTCAATATTGTTCCCCAATATATGATGATTGCTCCCCAATATATGATATGTTGTTCCCCAATATATCTTGAGATACTCCGGGATTTTGAACATCTGCTTGGCCTTGAAGCACTGCAGAGTTTTCCTGTAACAATTGCGGAGCCATTTGTGCCCTTATTATTAGCATGACAAAATTACTGGATGCTGATTGGTTGAGAGGAGTACAATTATTCCATTAATTGTACTGCAGTACAATTAATGATTTTCCCAAAACAAACAAAATGGCGGAAAGGTATTTTAAACACTACATGTGAAATGAAATTGCTGTGGAGGAACTAGATGAAAATACGAACAAGAACACCAAATTTTGCTTGAACAAAAGAACTAAATGAAAATACAAACAAAAGCACCAAATTTTGGTTGAAAGTCTGGCAGGACTGGGCTTTGGCGAGAGAATGTGATGCTGACATTGAGAAGTACGTATCCAATTTTGTCATGCCAATAATAAACAAGTAATCATGCGATGTTGCTCGTACAATTAGGGATTAATAGTACTCGTTGATGTTTGGAAATTTGCCAAATTGGGCTCGCCCCGGCGGCTCGTCAAATTTTGGCAAAATTTCCAAACATCACTCGTACTATTAATCCCTAATTGTACGAGCAACATCGCATGATTACCTATACTAATCGCTCAAGATAGTTTCGCAATAACACCTTGCTCGGCTAATACGGCCTGAACTAGGTCCATCCTAGATTCCATTGAGTCTTCACGCGTCGATGGATCAGGATTAACAACATTTTCCAATTCTGAAATATTTTCTTGCTCCGCCATGCTTGAGGAGTGAACAAAAAAGACGAACGGAGGGCGCAGGTCAGCGGTGATGTTAGCACGGACTAAGAACGTTATTTTGTTATAGTTTATATACTTTAAATTCACTGTAAATACGTTAAAAAGGGGTTAATAATAAAGATAATGCATTGTTAAATTGAGTCGAGTATCTCGAAATATAATACGTACGTGTTACTTCCTACAAAGACTTAGATACAATACGTTGCTGTCCTCAACTGGCTCAAGCTAAGTAGAGTGTATAAACATGTGTGTTACTTGCGTATCCGCTTATCATATTTTATATTATATACTAGAAATGACTACAGAAAACTCTCTACTAACGGCTTTTCCATTTAATCACTTAGACGATAATTCTTTTAATTTAGCTATTTATATGAGTTTATCTCATGGTCCATTGAACTATAATAATGATTTGTTTGAATCGCTTTTGTTTAATTAATCCTATAGACGAATCTCCTATATCTAGTACATTTCCTTTTAATCTTGACCCAGATAGTAATATATCTTTTAATATGTCGGTCAGTGAACATATGTTAGAGGAAGCGTTTGCCGACAGCACGTCCAAACCGAATATTAATTTTACTTTAATTCATTTAAACGCACGGAGTTTTCTTGGTAATTTTGACAACTTCAAGCACTTGTTGATTAAGCTGCGAAGATCAATCTCTGTTATAGGAATTATAGGGGTATCAGAAACATGGCTCAATGAGCTAACATGCGATCAAGTAAATATCCCCGAATACAATTTTTTTTCTAATCATCGTAGCTCAAAAATTGGTGGGGGAGTTGGTCTTTATTTGCACAATAATCTCAAATATAAAATGCTTCCTAAATTTAATTTTTCAGATCCGGATGTTACAGAATCTTTATTGAAATTGAAGTGCCTATAACCAAAGAAATATTATTGTCGGTAATATATACCGGCCCCCGAACCAAAACACTGCATCATTTGTGGACAAATTGAATGAAATCCGTGCATGGATTAATCTCCAAACAAAACAAAAAAACTTCATTTAATGGGTGATATCAATTTGGATTTACTTCATTATAGCACTTATTCTCCCACTCAAGAATTTATTGACAGCTTATTTTCATACGGTTTTTACCCACTTATTTCTAAACCCACGCGACTAAATTACTTCTCACTCTGCTACTTTGATAGATAACATTTTCACTAATGAAGCTGCCACATGTACCCACAGTTGCATTGAACTAAATGATATTTCAGACCACACGCCTGTAGTAGCAAGTTTTATCGATGACTTTCTTCCAATGCGTCAAGAAAGAGTTGTTAAACGTTCTTTCGATGTAAAATGTTTTATAAATTTCGCGAACTTCTCTCACAAGTAAATTAATAGTAAATTAATCCCGACATGCAGATGCCAACGCATCTTACAATGCTTTCACGAATGAGGCCCTGAGCTGGCCTGCCCGGCTTCGGCATAAACAAACAGTTAGCTCTTTCTAAATATAATAAAGGTAATTGGAGTGTTGTAGCTAGTCCAGTTCAGTTTACTTCACATTTTATCAAACTGGGTAATTTTTTTTGGCACCTACGGAGGGGGAATTGAAAACCTACCAACTCCGCTCAAACCGTAAGCGGTAATATATTAATATAATGTAATACTTTGTGACCTTTGTTACTGTTCGAATACAATAAATTACATACCCCTGCCCCCAAACAATGTTGAACATACTTCAATTGCTTTAACTGTTTTCTGAGAACATAATCAACTTTGAATGGTTGGAGTAACAGGGGGATTTCTAAATTTACAATAATTTGGTCGAAAAATTGGTAGCGTCGCGGGTGTTTTGTCCAGAATTATATGCACAACGGCCATATACTATTTGGAAGCGTTCAGAAGTATAAACATGCTACTGAACTGAGCAAATACGTTTGGCATATGAGACAGTCCAAAGTAGAATATACTGTATCTTCTCAAATTCTCCCTTATAGTTCACCTTGCGAAAAAACAAACCGAACAAAGGAAGAAAAAAAAATGGATTTGGCAGTCTATACAGCTATTATTGCGGCCTTGTGTTTCGTACCACCAATTGCAACATTTATCATTGGTGAGATGGTTTGGTGTTGCTGTCGAAAAGGCGAAGGCTTGACGCTTATCATGATGAAAAGCGTCATCAGTAAAAAGAATATCGACAAAAAGGCGGTATACCTGGTCTGCGACAGGAAACTTCCATCGTCAGGTCGAAAATATTTTATGATTTATTCACTGATCATTCTCACAATATGTGTGCAGTGTTTTTTTCTTCTCGCTTTTTTTGAAGTGAGCTTTGAATGTAAGCACGATCCTGACTTGGATTGTTTCAAAGAGATAGACGAAGTGGCATTTGCTGATGTGAAATTATCTTCTTTCGATCAGTCGCCAGTCAATTGTTCAACCCTCTCGAAAGATGATCACGTCTTTTGCTACCGTACGACTGCTTTCGATCCCGAAAAGGCATTTTTTAGTGCGGCGGCTGCATATTTATTGTTCGAAATGCTCAACATTGGTCTTGTAGTCATTGCACATATCATGCTTTTCCTGGCAGAGAAATTAAAGAGCATGCTAATGATCAAGATTGTGCTTACCTTAATTTTCGTGGGATTCTTTGTTGGAATATTCGTTTTGAGAACCCAGGTGGATGACTTCGAATCAGCAACTCGAAAGTTGTCGTACACGGTGTTAGTACAAGGCATGCTTGTTATGCTCTTCGTTTTCTTCTATGTAGTAATGCTTCCTTGGGGAAAGATCGGCAGTGAAGAATATTATGGAGACGCATCTTTACCAACCATCGTTGGTGCACATGACAACGAAATGACTGATCCAAAATAATAACATTGATAACCAACTGGATTATTTACAATCATGCACATATAGCTTGAGGTATTATACATCATGACACGTTTGTAGCAGGCATGTTTTTTTTATATATAAACAATAAACAATAAATTTAATGGTATAGTATAAGCGAGAAAATACATATAACATGCTAGGATGAACTACATGTTTGGATGAACGCTGCTATTATATGCTGTATAAGTAACAATTTTTAGCGTTAATTTGCACTAACTTTAAATTAATTATACGCATCCGTATAGTTTACAAACACTGTATACTCTTTGTAAGCAACAAGTGTCTTGTATGGTTCAGCGCACTTGTTTTTGCTTTTCCCTCCCATTCATACACGGATACACCCTTCGTATGTCACTTTGGATATAGAGCTTCATTTTCGTGTATCTGACATCATGCAGAAAGCCTGCGTCCCAATCACGAAAACGAGGCTCTATAGCAAAGATGACGCACTTTCCGAAAGTGTGAAATGGCTTTTTCCTACAGTCTGATGGTCAGATTATTTGGCAATTCTGTTGAAATGGCAATTATCAAAATTTCAAAAGCTTTGTGCGCGACGAAGTCGTCTCTAAAAACATAAAATCGTGGGTCATTAGGAACTGGTCATTTTTATGGTGGAGGAATAGCACCGAAGAGAAGTTTTTCCTTGGTAAATATTTTACTGGTCCAATCATTAACCCCCTCCTTAAATATCCGTTAAAAATATAAATACCTATACCCCTATCTAAAAACATTAATTAAAAAAGGCTACCATTCATTTGTCACACATCCCATGTCCTAACTACTTCTGTGACATTGAGTTTGATAACTGTTTGTACAATTTTAAAGTTTCATGCTGTCTGCACATGTACTTTCTTTAGAGACACTATTCGCATCAAGAAAAATCGGAAAATGATCAAGATTGTGACCGTGATTGATTTACATATTGCACTGACATATGATTGTTAATTGACACTCAGTTAAGTCTTCAATATTTGAGCGAGTCATGCATTAGAAATAACAATGAATTTTTATTACCCAACCGTTGCATGAGTTGTTTTATTTACCCAACCGTTTTCTTTTCGTAGCCACTTCCCTCCGTAAATAATGACTGGTCCCTTATATATTATAGAGCTCGAGACTTCGACGTTTGCCAAGTTTTCAGCCAATATCGCGATTGTCTGACAAAGAATTAGTTATCCAAATCGTCGCAAAATTGAATATTTACAACGATAGAGTATTTAATTTGTTTCAGTGGCGCTTGTAGACAGGTAAACATTGGTTTGCGAATTGTCCGCCAGAATTGCCATGCGTTTGGCTGCCAATATGCGCGCACATGCTATTTTGGATGCTGTAGAACGTTGTGCTGTTACGTCGCAACGCTATTCAAAATTGCATGTTCGCGCATACTGGCAGGCAAATTTACATAATGAGGACAAGGTTCCTCACGCTGAGGACAAGGCTCCTCACGCTGAGTACAAGGTTCCTCACGCTGAGGACAAGGTTCCTCACGCTGAGGACAAGGTACCTCACACTGAGGACAAGGTTCCTCACGCTGAGGACAAAGTTCCCCAAGCTGAGGACAAAGTACCTCACACTGAGGACAAGGTACCTCACACTGAGGACAAGGCTCCTCACGCTGAGGACAAGGTTCCTCACAGTGAGGACAAGGTTCCTCACGCTGAGGACAAGGTTCCTCACGTGAGGACAAGGTTCCTCACGAGGACAAGGTACCTCACACTGAGGACAAGGTTCAGTGAGGACAAGTTCCCCAAGCTGAGGACAAAGTACCTCACACTGAGGACAAGGTACCTCACACTGAGGACAAGGCTCCTCACGCTGAGGACAAGGTTCCTCACAGTGAGGACAAGGTTCCTCACGCTGAGGACAAGGTTCCTCACAGTGAGGACAAGGTTCCTCACAGTGAGGACAAGGTTCCTCACGCTGAGGACAAGGTACCTCACACTGAGGACAAGGTTTCTCACGCTGAGGACAAGGTTCCTGACACTGAGGACAAGGTTCCTCACGCTGAGGACAAGGTTTCTCAAGCTGAGGACAAGGTACCTCACACTGAGAACAAGGTCCCTCAAACTGAGAACAAGGTTCGTCAAGCTGAGGACAAAGTACATCACACTGTGGACAAGTTACCTCACACTGAGGACAACGTTCCTCACGCTGAGGACAAGGTTCCCCAAGCTGAGGATAAGGTAGGTCACACTGAGGACAAGGTACCTCACACTTAGGACAAGGTACCTCACACTGAGGACACGGTTGCTCACGCTGAGGAAAAGGTTCCTCAAGCTGAGGACAAGGTACCTCACACTGAGGACAAGGTACCTCACACTAAGGACAAGGCTCATCACGCTGACGACAAGGTTCCTCACGCTGAGGACAAGGTTCCTCACGCTGAGGACAAGGTTCGCCAAGCTGAGGACAAGGTAGGTCACACTGAGGACAAGGTACCTCACACTTAGGACAAGGTACCTCACACTGAGGACAAGGTTCCTCACGCTGAGGACAAGGTTCCTCACGCTGAGGACAAGGTTCTTCACGCTGAGGGCAAGGTTCCCCAAGCTGAGGACAAGGTAGGTCAAACTGAGGACAAGGTTCCCCACGCTGAGGACAGGGTTCCTACACGCTGAGAACAAGTTTCCTCACGCTGAGGACAAGGTACCTCACACTGAGGATAAGATTCAACACGCTGAGGAAAAGGTTCCTCAAGCTGAGGACAAGGTATCTCACACTGAGGACAAGGTAGCTCACAATGAGGACAAGGTTCCTCACGCTGAGGGCAAGGTTCCCCACGCTGAGGACAGGTTTCCTACACGCTGAGAACAAGGTTCCTCACGCTGAGGACAAGGTACCTCACACTGAGGACAAGATTCCTCACGCTGAGGAAAATGTTCCTCAAGCTGAGGACAAGGTACCTCAGACTGAGGACAAGGTACCTCACACTGAGGACAAGGTTCCTCACGCTGAGGACAAGGTTCCCCACGCTGAGAACAGGGTTCCTACACGCTGAGAACAAGGTTCCTCACGCTGAGGGCAAGGTACCTCACATTGAGGACAAGGTACCTCACACTGAGGACAAGGTTCCTCAGGCTGAGGACAAGGTTCGCCAAGCTGAGGACAAAGTACCTCAGACTGAGGACAAGGTTCCTCATGCTGAGGACAAGGTACCTCACACTGAGGACAAGGTACCTCACACTGAGGACAAGGTACCTGACGACGAGGACGAGGTACCTCACAATGAGTACGAGGTACCTCACACTGAGGACAATGTTCCTCACGCTGAGGAATGGGTTCCCCAAGCTGAGGACAAGGTAGGTCACACTGAGGACAAGGTACCTCACACATAGGATGAGGTACCTCACACTGAGGACAAGGTTCCTCACGCTGAGGAAAAGGTTCCTCAAGCTGAGGTCAAGGTACCTCACACTGAGGACAAGGTACCTCACACTGAGGACAAGGCTCCTCCCACTGAGGACAAGGTTCCTCACGCTGAGGACAAGGTTCCTCGCGCTGAAGACAAGGTTCCTCACGCTGAGGACAAGGTACCTCACACTGAGGACAAGGCTCCTCCCACTGAGGACAAGGTTCCTCACGCTGAGGACAAGGTTCCTCACGCTGAGGACAATATTCCTAACGCTGAGGACAAGGTTCCCCAAGCTGAGGACTAGGTACGTCACACTGAGGACAAGGTACCTTACACTTAGCACAAGGTACCTCACACTGAGGACAAGCTTCCTCACGCTGAGGACAAGGTACCTCACACTGAGGACAAGGTACCTCACAATGAGGACAAGGTACCTCACACTGAGGACAAGGCTCCTCACGCTGAGGACAGGGTTCGCCAAGCTGAGGACAAGGTAGGTCACATTGAGGACAAGGTACCTCACACTGAGGACAAGGTACCTCACACTGAGGACAAGGTTTCTCACGGTGAGAACAAGGTACCTCACACTGAGGACAAGGTTCCTCACGCTGAGGAAAAGGTCCCTCAAGCAGAGGACAAGGTACCTCAGACTGAGGACAAGGTACCTTACACTGAGGACAAGCCTCCTCACGCCCAGGACAAGGTTCCTACCTCTGAGGACAAGGTTCCTCACGCTGAGCACAAGGAACCTCAAGCTGAGGACAAGGTTCCTCACGCTGAGCACAAGGTACCTCACACTGAGTACCTGGTACCTCACACTGAGGACAAGGTTCCTGACGCTGAGGACAAGGTTCCTCACGCTGAGGACAAGGTTCCTTACGCTGAGGACAAGGCTCCTCACTCTGAGGACAAAGTTGCTCACGCTGAGGACAAGCTTCCTCCCGCTGAGGACAAGGTTCTCACGCAGAGGACAAGGTTCCTCAAGCTGAGGACAAGGTACCTCACACTGAGGACAATGTACCTCACACTGAGGACAAGGCTCCTCACGCTGAGGACAAGGTTGCTCACGCTGAGGACAAGCTTGCTCCCGCTGAGGACAAGGTTCTCACGCAGAGGACAAGGTTCCTCAAGCTGAGGACAAGGTTCCTCACGCTGAGGAAAAGGTTCCTTACGCTGAGGACAAGGCTCCTCACACTGAGTACCTGGTACCTCACGCTGAGGACAAGGTTCCTCACGCTGAGGAAAAGGTTCCTCAAGCTGAGGAGAAGGTACCTCACACTGAGGACAATGTACCTCACACTGAGGACAAGGCTCCTCACGCTGAGGACAAGGTTGCTCACGCTGAGGACAAGCTTCCTCCCGCTGAGGACATGGTTCTCACGCAGAGGACAAGTTTCCTCAAGCTGAGGACAAGGTTCCTCACGCTGAGGACAAGGTTCCTCACGCTGAGCACAAGGTACCTCACACTGAGTACCTGGTACCTCACACTGAGGACAAGGTTCCTCACGCTGAGGACAAGGTTCCTCACGCTGAGGACAAGGTTCAACACGCTGAGGACAAGGTTGCTCACGCTGAGGACAAGGTACATCACGCTGAGGACAAGGTTCCCCATTTTGAGGACAAGGTTCCTCACGCAGAGGACAAGGTTCCTCACGCTGAGGACAACGTTCCTCACGGTGAGGACAAGGTTCCTCACGCTGAGGACAACGTTCCTCACGGTGAGGACAAAGTTCCTCACACTGAGGACAAGGTACCTCACACTGAGGACTAGGTTCCTCACTCTGAGTACAAGGTTCCTCACGCTGAGGACAAGGCTGCTCACACTTAGGACAAGGTACCTCACACCGAGGTCAAGGTACCTCACACTGAGGACAAGATTCCTCAAGCTGAGGACAAGGTACGTCACACTGAGGACAATGTACCTCACACTGAGGATTAGTTTCCTCACTCTGAGGACAAGGTTCCTCACGCTGAGGACAAGGCTGCTCACGCTGCGGACAAGGTTCCTCACGCTGAGCACAAGGTTCCTCGCGCTGAGGAGAAGGTTCCTCACGCTGAGGACAAGGTACCTCACACTGAGAACAAGGTACCTCACGCTGAGGACAAGGTTCCTCACGCTGGGGACATGCTTCCTCAAGAAGAGGAAAAGGTACCTCACACTGAGGACAAGGTACCTCACACTGAGGACAAGGTTCCTCATGCAGAGGACAAGGTTCATGACGGCGAGGACAAGGTTGCTCACGCTGAGGACAAGGTTCCTCACGCTGAGGACAAGGTTCCTGACGCTGAGGACAAGGTTCCTCACGCTGAGGACAACGCACCTCACACTGAGGACAAGGTACCTCACACTGAGGAAAACGTTCCTCACGTCGAGGACAATGTTCCTCAAGATGACGACAAGGGTCCTCACACAGAGGACAAGGTTCCTCTCTCTGAGGACAAGGTTCCTGACGGTGAGAACAAGGTAGCTCACGCGGAGGACAAGGTTCCTCACGTAGAGGACAAGTTTCCTCACGCAGAGGACAGGGTTCCTCACTCTGAGGACAAGGTACCTCACACTGTGGAAAAGCTTCCTCACGGTGAGGACAAGGTTCCTCACGGTGAGGACAAGGTTCCTCACGGTGAGGACAAGGTTCCTCACGGTGAGGACAAGGTACCTCACACTCAAGACAAGGTAACTCACACTGAGGACAAGGTTCGTGACGGCGAGGACAAGTTTCCTCGCGCTGAGGACAAGGTTCCTCACGCAGAGGACAAGGTTCCTCACTCTGAGGATAAGGTACCTCACACTGAGGACAAGGTGCGTCACACTGTGGACAAGGTTCCTCACGGTGAGGACAAGGTACCTCACACTGAGGGCAATGTACCTCACACTGAGGACAAGGTACCTCACACTGAGCACAAAATTCCTCGCGCTGAGGACAAGGTTACTGACAGCGAGCACAAGGTTCCTCACGCTGAGGACAAGGTTCCTCGCGCGGAGGGCAAGTTTCCTGACACAGACGACAAGGTGCCTCACGATAAGAACAAGGTACCTCACACTGCGGATAAGGTACGCCACACTGAGAAGAGAGTTCCTCACGCTGGGGACAAGGTACCTCACACTGAGGTCAAGGTACCTCACGCTGAGGACAAGGTTCCTCTAGTTGACGACAAGGTTCCTCAAGCTGAGAACAAGGTACCTCACACTGAGGACAAGGTTCCTCAAGCTGAGGACAAGGTACGTCACACTGAGGACAAGGTTCCTCACGCTGAGGACAAGGTTCCTCACGCTGAGGACAAGGTTCCTCACGCTGAGGACAAGGTACCTCTCACTTAGCACAAGGTTCCTCAAACTGAGGACAAGGTACCTCATGCTGAGGACAAAGTTCCTCAAACTGAGGACAAGGTACCTCACACTGAGGACAAGGTACCTCACGCTGAGGACAAGGTTCCTCACACTGAGGACAAGGTAATTCACCTTAAGGACAAGCTACCTCACCCTGAGGACAAGGTTCCTCATGCTGAGGACAAGGTTCCTCACGCAGTGGACGGTGTTCCTCACCCTGAAGACAAGGTTCCTCACAGTGAGGAGAAGGTTCCTCACGCTGAGGACAAGGTTCCTCACAGTGAGGACAAGGTTCCTCACGCTGAGGACAAAGTTCCTCTCGCAGAGGAGAAGGTACGTCAGGCTGAGGACAAGGTTCTTCACGTTGAGGACAAGGTTTCTCACGCCGAGGACAAGGTTCCTCACGGTGAGGACAAGGTACCTCACACTGAAAACAAGGTTCCTCAAACTGAGGACAAGGTTCCTCACACTGAGGACAAGGTTCCTCACGCTGAGGACAAGGTACCTCACACTGAGGACAAGGGTCCTCAAGCTGTGGACAATGTACCTCACATTGAGGACAAGGTACCTCCCACTGAGAACAAGGTTCCTCAAGCCCAGGACAAGGTTCCTCACGCTAAGGACAAGGTTCCTCACGCTGACGACAAGGTGCCTCAAGCTGAGCGCAAGGTACCTCACACTGAGTAGCAGGTACCTCACACTGATGACAAGGTTCCTCACGCTGAGGACAAGGTTCCTCACGCTGAGGACAAGGTTCCGCACGCTGAGGACAAGGTACATCACGATGAGGACAAGGTTCCTCACTTTGAGGACAAGGTTTCTCACGCTGAGGAATATTTTCCTCACGGTGAGGAAAAGGTACCTCACACCGAGGACAAGGTTCCTCAAGCTGAGGACAAAGTGCCCCAAGCTGAGGACAAAGTACCTCACACTGAGGACAAATTACCTCACACTGGGACAAGGCTCCTCACGCTGAGGACAAGGTTCCTCACAGTGAGGACAAGGTTCCTCACGCTGAGGACAACGTTCCTCACGGTGAGG